GGTGCAGCCAGAAGCTGAGAACCCGATTCTCCCTCAAAGGCCAGAAGAGGCCCCTGTGCACAGCACGCTGGACCACAGTGGCCCACACAGTCCGCAGGGCCCTGCACCCTCATGCACCCGCAAATGCGTTCATGCACAAGTGTACCCCTCAACTTCTCTCATACACACACACATAGTCACACCGACTGAGGTGTGTATAGCATTTAAGGCAAAGACTGACCTCACGCAGTGCACGCATAAACACATTGTACCCCCCGACCTACGTACACGTGTGTATCATCTTACTCATTCACACTCGTGTATACCACACATTTTTTTTTAAAATTTTTTTATTATTATTTTATTATTTGTATACCACACATTTGTACAGACTTGCCGCACACGGTACAGACATAGATATGCACACCATACCCCGTAGATCACACATGCACGCGCGCACACAGACACACACACACACACACACACACACACACACACACACACACACTTTCTCTGCACATATTCTCATACCCACACTTCCCACCAGCCAGGCTCACACCCTGTTGTGACCACACACTCAGGTCAGAAATGTAGCCGTCCTCCAGGCTAGGTGGGCGAGACCAATGAGCCAGTCTGAGGAGAGTGAAGGTCTGAGGCGGCCCCTGGGCTGCTCTGGGGGAGAGGAGCCTCATGGGAACGCAGGCCCAGCGCTGCCAGGGCTTCTGAATTTTTAAGAGAAGCTGGAAAGCTAAATTTTTTATATGTGAAATATCCTGATTTTTTAAATGTTGGCTCAAGATGTTGAAAATACTGCGAGGGCCAAACCAAACATGTCTGTGGGCCAAATTCCACCCACAGGCGGCATTCTCAGACCTCGTGTCCACACACAGATACATAGGCACACATACAAACACAAACAGACATGGTGACAGGCTCACGCAGAGATGCCAGAAGAACACACACACACACACACACACACACTCACACACACACACAGGTCAAACCACAGACACTGGCAGATAAACCAACGTACAAACACATAGGCATGAAATGCCATACTGAGACACGTATGCAGATGTGCGCATTTGCAAACACAAATAGTACAAGCAAACAAATGCATGGACGTAAAGACACAGGCACGCGAAGGGGCACACAGCACACCGTCTGTCCTGCTGCCGTGAATGAGCTTGCTGGGGGCAGGTAGCCTGTTGGGTGGCTCTGTGTGGGGCCTGGGTGTTGTCGCGGTCCAGCCTGCCTTTGCTAAGTGCTGGAGCAGGAAGAGGGTGCTGGGCAGAAGGTACCCACAAGGGACAAGTGTCCTGGGCGGACCGGAGCACATGGCATGGCGGCTGGTGAGGAGTCACGGGAAGTGTCGTGGGCCAGGCCCTGGTAGAATTTGGGAGTCACAGACACTGAGGAGCTGAGACGGGAGTGTGGCGGGGCCAGGAGTCCACCCTCCCGTGCCTGAGCACCACTTCTGTCCCTCTGGCCTTCCTGCTAGACCCCCCCACTATCTTCTCAGAAAGCAAAGCCAACAGGAGCTCATGGGGCCCCAGGTCTGCAGCACTTCCCATCAGGAGACGCCCAGCTTCCCAGGCGCTCTGTCTTTGCCCGTCATTGGCTGTTGTTATGTGGCCACAACTCCATCGAAACCCTGTGGACAAAGGATCTGAACGTCTCTCCTGTGCCATCCTCTCCAGCTCCAGTGTACTTAAGCCAACTGTTCCAGTCACTGCGTAAGTCCATCTTGTTGAGGGTCTTCATCTTCTACACATGCTCCACCTTTCCAAGCTTGATATCCTTCCTCCTGGACAATCTCCAAGTAGGAAGCTTTTGAGGGAGAATTGAGATGCTCCTCCCACTCGTGCCAACATCCCACCACCCACTGCCAAGACCCGGTAGGGCGGAGCCTGTGCAGCACCTGCATAATTAATATGGGAATATAAAGAAGCCCCTCCCCTTCCTCACAGAAGGTAAATACCAAGGCCAGGGCCAGGCTGGGAATCCGGGTCTAAAGCCTCAAGACGCGCCACAAAGAGGATCTGCCCAGAATCCACATCTGCCACCCTTCTTCCTGCCAGGAACTCTGGATCTCCATTCTCTGCATGGACAGGATTGAAGAAGGAGGGGCCCCATCACTTGGGAATGTTGTCCCAACGCTGGTATGAAGAACCTCACATTTGCTCAGGGGAGAGACAAGTTCCCTTGAGGCAGTGGAAACCCGGCCTAGGAGCCCCACTCGGGCCAAACCTGGGTAGGGCTTTGACCTCAGAGGACAAGCTAAGGCTCAGAGAGGGCAGGCAGCTGACCGAGGGTCTCAAGGCACACATGGGGCGTCAGGGCCCAGGGGCCCTCCTGGCCTGGCCGGACCAGTCCTCCTGTCTGTTTCGGTTGGCCGTGGTTTGACTGGGAGCGGTCTCCTGCTGGAGCTGAATGAGGAGGCATTAGACCCAAGAAGCTGGACCCAACCCAATCCGTGTGTCAGAACCTCACAGCAAGCCTCGCCCCGCGTCCCTGGCACCACTGATGGGGTCCCCACAGCCTGAACGCGTGTCTTCTGATTTTCAGGGCAAGGACAGGACCCCATTAGATAACCTTCCTCTAGGAAAGAGCCAGGACCCCCTGAGGCCATCAGAGCAGAGCCAGGCCCCCTCAAAGCCCCAGGCCTAGGTCACGTCCCTCTCGAACTTCCAGAAGACTCACCTTTCTGAGTGTGTGGGGTTGAGGTGAGTGTGGGCCAGGCACAGCCATTGTGCTTGTCTGAACATGGACCCCAGTCCTCTAGACCCCCACCCTGAATCAGACCCTCCAGACTCATCTGGCCTCCCCTGGAGACCTGGCCCAGTCTGACCAAGTGAGGTCTTCAAAGGTCCGCCCCCCAGTCCAGGCTCAGGGTCTGTCCATAAGACACATGGGAGTTGGACCTGGATGCTTCACTGGCCTGATTGGGGTCTAGAGTGACCCATGAGGTACCCAGTCATTGTGTCTGGGGAGCTGAGGAGTTGGGGGTCTCTCAGTACCCTCCTTCCTGTCTACCTGCGGGCCAGCTCGGCCAGTGTTTATGTGTTCCCTGTGGCTTGGCTGGACCACGCGGCCTTGAAGGGAGAAGTGACCACCTGGCTCCAGTGTCTGCTCAAGGCAAACAGGGTCCTGACCACCTGCCAGGCCCTCAGGGCTCCCACTTCCTCTGCCAACACCTGGACAGTCCAGGCGAGGCCCAGGGGCCTCTCTCTGTAGGGTGAGGAGACCTGGTTCTGGCTGAGAGGCCAGCTGGATGGGCCTGTCCTGTGCTGGGACATCCACTCTGAGGGAAGAGACAGTCCACAGAGGGAGGCTCGGGCCTGCCCTAGGTGCAAACGTCCTCAGGCTGGAGGGCCAGTCCTCATTTGGGGTAGTGGGGTCCTGGCCAACCTGGTAACATCAAACCTAAGAGGGGGAGACTCAGCAAGTCTGGAAGTTATTTAATGTGGGGGGCACAGCCCAAATCTTGGGGAACCCATGAAAGTGTGACACACGTAGCAGTGTCCAGGGTGAGCAAGGAGATCTGGCTCTGTCCTGGACAGTCCGGTCTGAGGGGTGAAGAGTGGCCCTGCCCTGAGAGGGGCCCAGTGAGGGAAGGTTCACTTCTATCTTGGGGGACATCCGGCCTGAGAATTGAGGGGTGATTTGTTCTGGAATGGAGAAGCTGAGGATGGGGCTTGGAGTGGCCAAGGGTGCATGTGGCCGCTCTCAATGGCGGAGAAAGAAGAGGCTCCGTTCTGCCCCCCGCCCCACCCCGTGCTCATATTCAGGGGCTAACAGCTCTGCTTTAGGGGTGACAGAAGTTTTAATATGAGAGATATGGGGTCTTGCACCCTAGGGAGCTTTGGTGACCTTGTCTCCGAGGTGGGGAAAACTTTGTGAAGGGTCCTGAAGTTCTGAGCTAAGTTGATTATGCCAAACCCAGATCCCAAAAAGGGGGATTCAGGGGCCTTCAGAGAGGGGGACTAGATCTCCTCTCAGCCCTTGCCTCCCTGTCCTGGCTAGCACTTCCTGCCCCCATCACCAGCTCCCAGCCCGCCCACCTGCTTCTAAAAGGCTACCTCCTTACTGGAGCAGAGAGACGCTTCTGAACACTGCTCAGACTTCACTGTCCCCTTTACTCCTTACTGACTTCCCACCATCCGGGGAATCCCTTCTTGTTCACTTGGCCCAGGGACATCTCAGAAATGGACCGAGCCTCTCTCCCCGCAACCCCATGCAGACCGCACCACACAGGGGACCCAACTGACAGCAGACCTTTAGACAGGCCCTTCCCCTGCTGGCCACGTGGAAGGGCAGCCAGGGTGGACTTCCACCGCCTCTGTGTGCTGTCCTGGGCCTCATGACCCCTCATTTACTTTACTGAAGGTGAAGGAGGGGAAGCACTTCCTGTGTCGCTGGGAGAGGTAGGCGGAGGCTGGAGCCTTTAAACACGACCCAGCAGCTTGTTCAGGCCAAAGCATGAGAAGGTGGTCTCCAGAGCCAGGCCGAGGGGCTGTGTCACCAGGACTCACTTGGGGGGGGTGCATTCATGGTTGGGGTAAGGTGGTAGGTGGATGCTGGGGCCGAAACCCACCAGGGCTTCGTGAGTGGTCGTGCCTGCGGATCCCGCCTCAGCTGCCCCCACACCTCCCCAGCCGGGGCAGGGACCCTGGCCCACCTTTCATGGCTGGCTCTGAACAGCCCACGTATCTATCTGGTCTCTGGTTCTGGAGGCAGGTGGAGGAACTGAACCAGAGCCACCAGGACAAGGGTACTGGGTTCCTCTGAGGCCTGGATATGAGTGTGTCAGGTGCCCGAGGTCACAGTAGGTGGCAGAGAAATGATAGGGCCTGATTCCTGAATGGCTCCATACAGCCATCGTGACATCTGCAGACCTGTCTCTATGGGCCTTAACCACGGCGTCTCCTGGGGCCCCTTCTGCTGGGCCCTGCCCCCTTCCGAGACTCCCCATTGGCGAGTCTCATCTTCAGACCACAGGAACTCACACACACTGCTTCCTTTTCCCTTTTTTTTCCTTCCACTTTTTCCTCCAAGCCCCAGCCCTGAGCAGGCAACCATCAAGCACTCATGTCTTGGTCCATCTGTCCGTCACACTTGTGTCCGTAGGTCCGGGCCCCAGGTCTCTGTCACATGACTGTCTCCCATTCCTCTTGCAGCAGGGCGGGCGGCCGCTCGGGTCCGGAGGCCTCCTCGTCCAGTCCTAAGCAGGAGCCATTGAGAAACCCGTTGTCCTTGGGCACAGCCGCACCAGGTGCTGTGGTCTCCAGGGCGGGGGCCCCTGGCTTAGTGTGGCCGGGCAGCTGGGGGTGGCCATTGGTGGTGGCAGAGGGCAGAAGGCGAGGGCTGAGGGGCAGGCCGAGTCCGCCACGGGGGCCTACGTTGGTCACACTCGTGTGTGACACCATCGGGCCATAACTGTAGCTGCTGCTCCCACTGCGCGCCTTGCGCTTGAAGTCCAGGGCCAGCGTCCAGCGGCTCCAAGATTTCTTGATCTCAGCTTGTACCTGGGGCAGCAGGAGGATGGTGGACTGTCAAGATGCCATGTGCCTCCCACGCAGTGCCCCATCCCTGCCCTTGACACCCCGGACCAGAGGTGCATGGTACTGGAAAATTCCAAAACCAATTAAATCCCACCATCCTCAGAGGCTTGGCTACAGGCAATTGACACCCCAGAATCAATAATCATAAAAGTGGGCGAGTCCTTCTATCTAGATTTCAGACAATCTAATCCAAGGGCACAGAACGAAACCAGAGAGCAAAGCTCCCACAAGCCCAAGTTCTGAGCCTGATCATCCAGCAAGACTTCTCTCTGCCTTTAAGGTGTCTCGGGATGTTCTCAGAGGAGCAGAGAAAGAACAGGATAGCAGGAGGAGGCTACAGGACTTTGGGAACCATCCGTCCCAGCCCAGCCCCACTGCTGCCTGCCACTTACCTCGCCATTGCAGAAACAGTATATGATAGCGACAAAGAATCCCTGTAGAGAGAGGAAGGTGGACGGGTCGCCCAGGAGCCCACACCTGGAGGGGACGGCGCAGCGACTGGCCACCCACCCCCCTCTCAGTCAGCTGGGGCTGCACACCTGGAAGGAGTTGAAGAGCATCTCATAGTGCATCTGGATCTGCCAGAGCGTCCCTGAGACCTCGGTGTACGGCGTGGCCATGAAGACGATGTAGTGGACGCCAAAGAGCGGCATGAGCACCAGCGTGGATTTGAGCAGCTTCCTGTGTGCGGGCGGGGCGCAGGTGGGGCAGGGCTCAGCTACGCTGCTCTGCCATGCACTGGGCCAGCCTCCAGCCTGTCAACCCCAGACCCCCAAAGCTGCAGAGGACCTCCACGCTATGGTGGCCATGGGAGGATGACCCCTTGGTTTTGCCCACTCAGGACAGCTTTCAGAAGACTTTGAGTGAACCACTCATATCACCCCTGTCCCAGGAATGCCCTGCCCTCACTCCCGCGGCCTGCTCCACGCATTTCTACTGGAGTTCCACCGACTCCTTGGAGACATCCACTGCCCCTTGTTCCTTGTCAGAAGCCTCATGACCACCTCTCTGAGGTGAAGCATGGATTTGCCACACTCTTCCAGGTCAAAGGGTCTCCAGAGACAGGCAAGGAGAGACCCCCGTCGCAGCCGAGCAGATCAGGACCCACCCAGGGAGTCAGGCCTGGTCCATTCCCTGGCAACAGGCTCCTCCGTGGAGTCGCTGCCTTTAAACGTGGTGGTGGCGGCTCACCGGTACTGCTGGCGCGTGTCACAGCGGCCAGCGTTGGTCTCCCGCAGCTTGGTGGCGAGCACCCGGACAATGTTGATGAAGAGGATGAAGTTGAGCTGGTGGAGGGGTGAGGAGATGCTGCTGCATTGAGGCTGAATCCCCAGCCCTGCCACAGCCTCCTCTCTGCCACATCTCTACGTGGGTTCTTGGGCCTCAGCGTCCTCCTGGGGGCCCAGCCCTTGACGCTGGAGTCCTGAGGTCCAGAAGCCTCGACAGGTCCCACCCCACCCCGCGGCCACCCCCGCTCACCACGATGGAGGCCAGGATGGGCACCTGGATGATCCACTTCTTGTTGCCGGAGCTCAAGTCCCAGCACCTGGGGGAGCAGAGGTATCAACAGTGCCACCTCTCTGTCCCCCCCAGATCCTACCCACAGGGAGGCCCCTGAACCAGTCTTCAGGGACAAAGGACAGCGGTATCAGGGGTCTTTAGGGCTGAGGCCCCCTCACAGGCGTCTTTGAGAGATGTGACCTCCTGAAACCTGAGGGGTGTTCAGTTGCAGGCTGGCCTGAGAACTCCAGAAGCTGGGGCTGCTTGGGGCTGGAGGACAGCTACTTCCTCATAGGCACCACGGAGGAAAAAGGGGCCCCAGGGGCCTTTTGGGTCTGTGTCAGCACCCGCCCCACCAGACGCTGCCCCACCCCGGACCTACCCTGTGTTGGCCATGGTGGCTCTCACACCAACCCACACTGCCACGAAGATGGCAGGGAGACCTGTGGGTGGACACAGAGGAGGAGTGTAAAGGACACGCAGACAAGTCCCTCTGCCACCTTCCTTTCATTACCGATGACGTCGGTGTACCCCTGACATCACAGCCTCTGCCTCGACCTGGACACACGAGCTGCTCAGTGAAGGAGGCCCTCTGGCCTTGCACAGTCCCAACAGCCTACCCCGGGGGACCCCATCCTCAGGACCCTAGCATGGCCCTCTGTGCCACCTTGAAGGCTCTACATCTCTCACAAGGGTACAAGATAAAGTCTTACTGACTGAGCCAGGCCCAGTCTGTGCCTACTATATCCCTAGCTCTAGGCTTGGGGTTCCTGAGGAGGAAGGAGCCTAAAGCCTAGTGACATACCCTTCCAACCAGTTTGAAAGATCCTGGCCCAATGGATGAGGCTGAATGAGGACAGCCTCGCTCCGGACTGGTCAAGGGCAATGAAGGGCCCCTGTGAGCTCTGGTCTTAGCCAGGGCAGCAGGTGGGAGTGACAGTGAGCAGTATGGAGCCCTGAATGTGCTTCGCCTCTAGCTCTCCCCCTCCCCCTGCTCATTTGAGCCCTGGATGCACCCCGAGGAGGCTCACTGGTGTCCCAAGTTTGAAAGAGCTGACATTCCTGTGCCCAGGGTTCTGCACAAGCTCTGCTCTGTTTTCTGACCACCTGGACCCTCCACCTCATAACACTGATCAGTTCCCTGGGCCCAGGTCCAGGGTGACCCCAACCAGAGGTGAAGTGAGGGTCAGCGTGGGTGCTGAGGGGCAGGGAGGCGGTGACTGTCCACCCGAAGACTTCTGGGAACAGAGGTGAGTGGCGGGGATCCTGGGCTGAGGCAGGGGCGTTGACGAACGTGTAAGAGCTCCAGCCACCCGGCCCACCCTCCTCAGTCTGGGCAGATGCCCCGGAGTCCAGCCAAGGTCTGGAACTGCCAACAATAACGGACAATTATTGGTAACTTGATCCGATCCTAGAGCTTGTGGGGGCCTGGGAGGGATGCAGAGTCCAGCAGCCCATTTGCCAAAGCCAGGGCGGTCCTGTGAGGCTGGCCAGCAGCTCCCAGCCTCTGACCTTGTGGCCCGTCTTGGGCTAGCAGCTCCGCTCAGGTGAGAGAATTCATAGCCACAGATGCTGGCTACACGCAAGGGACTCCGGGTGAAGGGAGCGTTTAAGACTCCATGCTCTAATCCCAAGATGAATCTTAACTCGGTAGACCCTGTCCCTCCTTCCCCTGACCTTAGCCTCAACCCCAGGTTAGTCTAACCTTTAACCTAAGTGAGTCCAATGCCAGGTGAATCCTGACTTTAAAGCTTAAGCCTGGAGTGGGGTCAGAGGGCGTGCAGGTCACCCGTCTACAACCAAGGCAGACTGTGCTGTGGGGTCACCTGACGCTCAGTGGTGCCCTCCGACCGTAGCCCTCATTACCGCCATGCCAGCGTACCCCAGCCGAAGACGGTGAAGCCCCAGAGGTACTTCTTCTCTGAGAAGAAGGCCATGAAGATGAGGCTGTGCAGGTACAGCCCCTCCACCAGGATCCAGTAGTAGTTGGTGGCCAGGAAGTACAGGAAGAAGGTCACCGCCACCCGGCAGCCCACCTAGGAGACCAGCTGGCGTTAGCGGGAGGGTGGCCTGTGTCTGGAAGTCAAGGCAGGGGCGATGGGAGTGGAGAGCTGGGAGGTGGCAGGGGTGGGAAGGGTGGCACATGACAGAGTGGTGCTGGCCCAGGGGTCAGGGCAGGGGCAGGCTCCAGCAGGGGAACCTCTGGCAGAGGCAGAATGTGTGACAGGGCGGTGCTGGGGCCAGAGGACACACACAGGGTGGTGCAGCAAGGTGCAGAGATGGAGTGCTTGGAGGGACTGGGCTGAGACAAAGCGCTGCCAATATTTTGATGCATGAGACACTTTGCATCAGGGGCTGGATGAAAGGTGGAGAGGTGTGAGGTGGGGAGCACCCATGAAGCCAGCGGTAGCAGGAGGCAGAGAGGGACTGGGCGCGCATGGAGGAGCGTGCATGCGTGTGTGTGTGCAAGCAGCGAGGGGCACTCACATAGCCCGCGGTGGCCGTGGGCGGCGGCGGCGCCTGGGCAATGGCGCGCAGCTCCTCCTCCGTGAGGCGTTCCGCCTCGTCGAGCGTGGCCCCGGAGTAGAGCACTGCGTCCTTCACGAAGATGCTCACTGCGCGCAGCATGAAGGACAGGAACAGGTGCATGTGGATGTAGTTGCGCGTGCAGTGCAGCCTCCTGCGGGCGCGCATCACCGTGCGTGAGGGCACGGGGACGCGCGGGACGCTCAGGGACACGCGAGGACAGGGGTTTGCAGGGACAGCAGGCAGAGGGGAGAGAGGGGTGCACTTACAGGACGGGTGTTTGAAGGGGGGCATCATCCCGTGGCCCCACCCCTTCCCTCCCCTCCCACGCCCCTCACTCCCTCTTCGCCCCGCCCACCTAAAGTAGGCCAATATGAGAACGGCCACGGTGAGGGAGGCCAGCGACACGGAGTAGCCCACAGTGTAGATCATGCCCAGGCGGTCAAACACCTCCTGTGGGGGTGGGGAGGCACCGGCCCTCAGAGTCCTGGGACTTGGAGGGACATTAAGGGAAGGAGCAGGGGCCAGGCTAAGGTCACTGGAAAAATCCAGGCTGATAGGGGTTGGTCAGGAGTCACCAAGGGGATGGCGATCGGGTGACCCCAGGAAGTCCAAATGAGAGGAAGGGAGAAGGCTCGCACCCGTTCACGAGTCTCGTTGGTCAGGAACTTGACGCACTCGCTGTAGTTGGCCCACGTCCTGTTGTGCCCAGGTACCAGCTCCCAGCTGCCATTGCGGTCACAGCGCCGGTAGGCATGGCCTGCAGGTCAGAGCGGAGGGGCAGGGCAGGTGAAGAAGGGTCTGGGGTCACCAAACGCTGAGCCCCGAGCCCGGTCCTCCTGTGGGTGCCGGTCCTCCCACACCTAGGCCAGTCTTACCTTTGTGATTGAAGTCATAAATGTAGTCGGGGCAAGGCACGGCCACCACCTCACCTGGTGCCCCTAGAGGCCAGCACAGGATATGGTCCCACTCCGGCAGGCAGGGATGCCCTGTATCCACAAAGACAGACGGACCAGCACAGTGAGGAACACCAAAGTGAGGCAGTGTCAAGTTCGTGGTGTCCTAGATCTGCAGAATTCAGGGCCGGGGTGTCCTGGAGAGGCCCAAGACCTTGATGCAGGAGCCCCAAGCACCAGCTCTTACCCTATGCTCTATATCACCTAGAATTCCCGCAGCCCCTGGGACAAGCATAGGGACTGGTCCCACTTTCCAGATGGGCTGGTGAAGGCCCAGGGAAGCAAGTGGCCTGCTGACTGTACAGGTTTTCACCCTTTCTCAGTCTCTTCCCTGGGAAATGAGTCTGTGTTTCCACCACCACCAAGATGTTCTCTGAGCACCTGTTATACAGTCCTCATCACTCTCTTCCAAGTCTGAGCACTAACAGTGAGATTCAAGGCAAAGTGATGCATTTTGAGGTCCGCATGTCACGAAAGAGATGCTTGGTCCCCGTTGAGGGTCACCACCCTCTTTGAGCCTTCCACATTCAGTCCTCCAGGCTCCTTCCTCCCTCCTCTCCCTCTTCAGAGCTCCAACCACAGGACTCTCCAGCCACCCTGGAAGGCTGCCTCGGCGGCTAGACCCACCCCAACTTGGTGAAAGGCTCTCTGTCATGGGCGCCATATTCCCAGCCCCGCCCAGCCAGACCCACAATCCCCTCTGGTCCCCAGAGAGCCACAGGGTGACCACAGCCTCCCAGATGTGGTCCATCTGGAATCCGCTGCCCACCCGGCCAGTTCAAGCTGGCCCTGTGGCCGAGCCTCGGCTCTGTGCTTGTCTCTCCTCACCTCCCTGAGGGACGACGCTGCCCTGATCTTCTCTTTGTCTCCGGCCAGCCCTCTCCTGTCACGCTCCTCTCTCATTCTGCCTCTAGGGTCCACGCTGCGGTGTGCCTTGCTGCACTGAGCTTGGCACCCTCAGCTTTTGCTTTTCAACCCTCTCTCTGTCCTTGTCATCATGTCTCGCTCCCTGTCTTTGTGCATTTTTTCCTCTCTCTCTCTGTGCCTGTCCCTGGCTCTCTTCCTGTCTGTCTCTCATTGGTTTTCTATCACCCCCATTCTCTCCATGGACGTTGGAGTTCAAGGTCCACTCTTGGGAGGTGTCTGGATAAGTTATCTGCCTATATCTCCCTGAGGCCTGACCCCAGCCCCTGTCCCCTGCACACACTGAGTCCAATTTCCCCACCCCACACCCAACCCTACTGTCCTGGGGAGAAGTAATTTTTAGAAAATGCCATCAAGCCAGTTCTATTCATAATGGACCCCTATCGGTCTTTGAAGCTGTAAATCACATCAAGAGGAGACTCTGCAGGGAGCTCTGGTGGCCTAGTGGCAGGAAACTGCACTGCAACCCCAGCGGTGTACAGTTCGAATCCACCAGATGCTCTGATGGAGGAGGGACATCTCCTGTACCAGTCAGATCCAGTTTGATGGTACACACACACACAAAATAATATTTTTTTTATAAAAAGAGCAGACTTTTTCCGAAGCATTCATAGATGTATCCAAACCACCAGAGACACGCAGCTTTGTGTCAGCAGGCAGCTCACCCTGGACTTCACCACTGAAGTCCCTGGAGAGGGGTCCCTGCCTATTTCCCATCAGAAGCAGACCAGACCAATGAGCACGGGTTCATGGTGTGGGGAGGGCGAGTCTGAGCTTACCTCAGACAGGTGCGTGGAAACACAGACATACCTTGGTGCCTGCCATCAGAGGGTGCCTCCTTGTTCTGCTCAGACTCTGCGTAGAGTTTCCCTGACGCCTGGTCTTTCCTGGGCTTCCCTGAGGTGGAAGTGGGTGTCCATCCCTTGTCTGACTCCATTATGCTGGCTGGAGAAGTCAGGGCAGTTATGGACATCTGATTTCACATAGACCTGGAGTGCCATGGGCCCCATCTGTACAAGGAGGCTGTCCCCTTGACCTGCTGACACCTGGGGCTGTTGGGCACCTGAGACGATGGCTGTTTATGATGGTTGTGTGGGGCCTGTCAAGTGGCAGAGTAACTAGGGACCACCCCCCCACCCCATGAGAGAGTGGGATGGAGGGATGGGCAGTGAATGTGGACAGGAGGGGGATCCTTCCATTCAGGAGGTAGGGCTTGAGCCTGCAGGAGGCGGAGGCTCCACCAGGGGGCGCATGGTAAAAGGTGGACAGGATGGTGATGGCTGAGTGGCTGGACAGTGTGTGCTGAGGTCTGCAGAAAGAGAAGCTGGTGGGTTGGACCACAAGGGCAGGATGGGTGGTCTGTCTGTCGAGAGTAGACAGACACCCATACGGGGACAGGTCTACATCCCCTACTTCTGCCCTGTGTATGACAGTAAGGGGTTCAGAGGTCCCAGAGGTGACCCGAAGCCTCCCCTTCTGGTACGGAAAGGGTCCTTTCTCCTCAGTGGAGAGATGCCAGAGACCTCTCTTCTTAGCTGCGAAGTCCTCCTCATTATCTGACTTGCATCCCTTCAGCTACAGCCCAAGCCAGGGCCCCTGGCACTCCCAAGTTTAATGCCAGGACACTTGGTGGCAGCTAAAGACAGCCTGTCCCGGGAGGAGAATGGCTGCACCCATTGGCCTGACTCTTCGTCTGGGCATCAGCTGGGTGGGGGTGCAGGAACCGGGTGAAGGAGGTTCTACTATGGATGGGGGACGGACAGAGAGGCACCTCCTGGTTTCCATAACCAGGAAGAGAGCGGAGATTGGGATTTAGAGGGAGGGAGATCCACCTGGACACCGAGACCTCGATGTGATTGAGATAGGGAGCTTAGAAAGCTGGTATGTGTGTGACAGTGGGTCTGTGTCTGCAGAAACCACAAGAGTCCCTGAGAGTGTAAGCAAAGTCGTTGTTCTGTCTGGTACGTGTACTCGTGCCCTGGGCATAAAAGGGGTATGAGAGAGAGAGAGAGAAAGGGGTATGTGAGAGAGAGAGAGAGAGACAGAGAGAGTGAGAGAGAGAACCCCTCCCTCAGAAGTCTAAGGGCCAGATCTAGGGAGGAAGCTGTACTTAAAGGTCAGTCCATTGGGGGTCTGGGCCTCTTCCAGGCTAATGAGATTAAACAGACAGAGACCAGAGGCCTGGCTGAGGACTAATGAGGGCCCCTCTCTGCTTGCAGGAAATGGACATCAGGAAGGGGGTGAGAGGAGGCCAGCTTAGAGGGGGGGAGTCAAACCCGCTGCCTTTGAGTCTGCTCTGACTCACAGTGACCCTCCAACTGAGTTTCCAAGGCCGTAAATATTAGTGGGAAGAGACTGCCCATTTTTCTACTGCAGAGCCACTCGGTGGTGTTTTTGTTAGCAGATGACACACTATGGACTGTGTCACCAGAGTGTGGGGGTATGTCAGAGCTGTACAATTTAAGACATTCCTCCTTTCACCTCCTTATGGCATGAAGGGTCCCATGGACATGCTGTGCCAGGGGGATGTAGAGCTCTCTACCCCCGGTCAAGTGTTCTCTTCCACAGCTGGCGGAGTGACTGTCACAAGTACTCATTTCTACCCTCGATTTCATCCAAATGGAGCTCTTGGGACCTCTTCTGAAGGAGCTGTGCTGCTAACCCAAAGGTCATGCTTCTCTGGCAGCTGGAATCCAACAGCAGCTCCAGGGAACAAATGTGGGCAATCTCCTCCCTTGAGATTTACAACTTAAAAAACTCAGCGGCGGGCCAGGTATGAGTCAGTTCTGCGCGGATGGCGATGTCAGACCTCCATCTAGCCTCACCACGTGGCCTCTGCTCACCCTTTGCCCTCTGTCAAGTGGCGTTCTCCAAAGACTTATCCTTTTTGAACTTGGCTTGGATGCTTCTCTCTCCAGGAAGTTTTCCTCGCCCCAAACGTTGGGGTCTGGAGGGGCTGGGCTCTGGATCTGCAGCTCTTTTCACACCCCTTTACCCTCATTCCTGGGCACAGCAGGCTGCAAGCTCTATCCCCTCTCCCAACCGAGCGTGGTGTGTGGAGCAGGGAATGTATGTGTGCGCATGCGCGCCCAAGGTCTGCTGGCCGGCAGCAGGACCGGGACTCGAGCTCAGGACTAAGACCCGAATCAGTCGACCCCACTTTTTGTCCTCACTTTGCACTGGCTTCTCCTAACCCGATCCACCCTTGTCTGTTTCTCCCTACACTTGGACCCACCAGCCGTGGCTCTCACTCCCGTCTGGCCCCGCCCCCTGACTCCGCCCCGGGGCTGACACGCCACGCCCACTTTTGACCCCCCGCCCCTACCTGGCTTCTGCTGGACTTCCTTGAGCCGCTTCTCGCACTGGGCCTGGGCTCGGTGCAGCAGGAAGATCTGCTCCTCCTTGGTCATGACGTCATCCGCATCCACCTGCGGAGCTTAAGGTCAGATCACAGGCAGGACTTCCCGGCCCAGCAGTCAGGTCCCAGAACACTCCAACCTCCCCGAGGGGCTCCTTCCTTTTCCAAAGACCCTGTCTCTAGAATTTAGGAGATGGGTCTTCTGTCGCTCCTGTTTTACAGGCAGAAGCCGCAGGAGGTAGGCCCTAACCAGCTGGAGAGGAGAAGGGGGGGAGTTTATCCCCTGACTGCCCGCCAGTGACCCCGCAGGCTACAGCCACTGAACTCCTCTGTGCAGTCTGTTCCCCAGGGGCACATGGGAACAGGATGCAATGTCCCAGGATCAATCTTCACAGGGTCCAGGCTGCCAGCTGGAGACCTGGGGGGTGTGGTGGGGGGTGGAGGATGAGGAATGGTGAGCTCTGGGAAGACAGAGGCGGGTCTGGATTTCTTCAAGTCTTTGTGCCCTGGGAGTCACCGATTAGCACTCCTCCTCTGTTCCCTAGACGCTTATGTTCTCCGCAGGGGAAGGGGCATGAGCCTCAGACCCCACTAGCCCCAAAGTTCTGCAGCTCCCAGCGGGTGAGGAGGGAGGGACAGTCGCAAACTGCACATCCCTCACATGCTGCTTATCTGAAAACTCCTGCCATCACGCACACCCAGTGCTCCGACGCCACCGACAGACCTTTCTCCTGCGCTCCCTCTGAAATGTCCTTCCTTCCTTTTCTTCCAACCTACAGACCCTGGACATTGCCCACCACCCACTGGGATTCACTGGAGTAATTTTAAGGAACTAAAAAGGAGTATTTTATTGGGTGGGTGGGTGGGGAAGTGGCGGTTTGTTGGAGAGGGGGTCAGAGACTGTCCCCTTGACTTGTGAAAGGGGGAAGAGGGCATCAGAAGGTGCTAAGCCCAGATGCCTCCTTGCGCATGACTAACAGGGCTTACTAGTGGCCTCTCAGACCAGCAGGGTTGCAACCCCTTTTATTCCCACGGAGAGCCGGGCCCCCAGGTCTGAGCAGAGTCACGGAGGCCAGAAGGACCCGGGCGAGCCGGGAGGGAAGGGGCGGGCCCCGGGCAGGGGCGGGCCGGGGAGCCCGGCTGCTGGGAGAAGTTAATTGACCGCGTCTCTTGGCGGCGGCAGCGAGGGCTTCCAGGGCCAAAGGAGTCTCCAATTGGCTCGGCCGGACTTGGGTTCTACTGGTTTCATTTAGCGGAGGCGCGTGCGCGTCTTTGCGCGTGCGCCTCCCTGGTGGCGCATCCTCGAACTTCCGCGCACAGGCCGTCTGCCCGGTGCGCGCGCGCTAATGTGCGTCGGTCTCCGTGCGTCCTCACGTGAGGGTCTGCCAGCGTGTAGATCTTGTCAACATGCATGTGTACATGTGTTTCTGGTTGAAGGTCTGCGATTGCTCGTTATTGTGCGTGTCGGTGGCGCCTAGGGTGGACTTGAGGGCCTCAGCTGGACCCAATGTCCAGGGGCCCCCAGAAAGCTTCTGGAGCAGATTCCCATGTGCTGGCTGCATGACGCAAAGCCCCTTTAACCTTCCTCACCGCTACTGCCAAGTAAAGCAGCTTGGGCGGCCTAGAAGCTGTGACTTGAGGGAGTCTGTGTGGTTCATACTCACTAGCCACTCAACAGGGAAAATAACAGGCGGTCTCCTGGGGGGGGGGGAACATCAGGGCTTTAGGGAGGGCAAAGAAGGCCGGCTCCATTCAACGACCCTCACTGTGCCCTTGTTTGGGGGGCATCTCACGACAGTGCCTCCTTACTACCACTGCCTGCCTTCATTTCAACTAGTACCTCTACCAGTTACCATCACTACCCTAATTACCAGCACATCACCACCATTGCTTAGTATCACCACTACGACCAGCAGTAGTAACGCCATTACTGCCATCAGCAGCAGCCTCGTAACTGGTAGCCTGTCATTACCATCACCACCAGCACCAGCATCGTCATCACCAATCCTTCCACCAGCCCCATCACTGAGATCCACACCACTTTTGCCATCCGACTGTCCTCACCCTGTCCTGGTCCCCACCACCCACTTCCTTTTGCCTATCTGTACATCTCTCAAAACAAGCACAATGCTGTGGTTTTTCCAGTCAACAAAGACTTCTGATTGACTGCCTGGAGCTCCCATCGGTCCCCTTCACAACACCAGTGTGACCACTGAGGAATACTGTTGGTGGCCCAGACAATCATAACGTGACAGTATGACCATTTCGCAGGCTAAACAGGTGGACCGGCCAGGTGATGACAGAGATCTGACCAACACCCCCCAACCACACCCCAGGCAAAGGGATCTGCTCAGCTTTCACGTACTGATGCTGGTTTCAACTCCACGGCCACGTGGGGCAAGTCCCTTTTCACAGTCTTGTTTCTATGGTGGGTCTGGGAATGGCTAGGAGTGTGGAGCGTATGTGTTTCTATAATCAGAGGCATATCTTAAGTTAGTTACCTCAGGTAACGGGATAGCCCTCTCGGCACCACCTGTAGGGGGTGCCACTGAGTCGCTTCTATTAACATGGTCCGGCTCAAGAGTCTTCCTCTAAGCATGGCAGGCATCCAGAGGCCGGGGGTGCAGTGGAGCTGGAGGAAGAAGCGGATATGCTCACAGGTACAAGTCCAGCGTGATGCACCACAAAGAGGGAAGGCACCCCAGGTTAGAACCCTGGTGGCACAGTAGTTAAAACACTTGGCTGCTCTGCTTAAGGCTGGTGCTACCAACCCATCAGCCATTTCTCAGTAGAGAGATGAGGCAGTTTGCTTCCATAAAGATTCACAGTCTACCCTATAAGGTGGGCTGCTATGATTTGGAATCCACCACACGACAACGGGATTGGTTAGATGAGGTCGCCAGAGAAAATGGACAAAGATATTTCTGCTGAGGCATGCCCGCTATCTGTTCATCTTTAAATTAGGGGAAGGGTTGTAATTTAAGGATCATCCGAGTGCTCACTGTGTTGTTGTTAGGTGCCATCGAGTCGTTTGTGACTCATAGCGACCCTATGTACAAGAGCCCTAAATGCCGTTCTATCCTGTGCCAATCTCGCTGTCTCAAACACATTCATTCCCACCACTCCACTCACAGAATGGGTCCATCTCATCAAGGGTCTCCCTCTCCTGCGCCGTCCCTCCACACTCCCAAACATGATGTCCCTCTCCAAGGACCAGTCCCTCCTTGCAACATGCCCAAAGTATGTCAGACGAAGCTTCAGAATCCTTGACTCCAGGGAACATTCTGGCTTCACCCTCTCCAGGACAAACCTGTTTGTTTTCCTAGCAGTCCATGGTATATTCAACACTCTTCTCCAGCACCACAACTCAAAGGCATCAATTCTCTATCATCCTTATTCACTGTCCAACTCTCTGATGCATAGCACGTAACTGCAAAGACTATAGCCTGGATCAGGCACACATTAGTCTCCAGCCTGACGTCATTGCACTTCAGTACTCTTGAGAGGTCCCTCACAGCTGACTTTCCCAATGCAATTCATCTCTTGATTTCCTGGCTGCTGTTACCAAGAGTGTTGACTGTGGAGCCAAGCAAACTAAAACTGTTAACTATCTCAATCTCTTCACCATCCATACTGATGCTGCCAATTGGCCCAGTGGTGAGAATCTTTGTTTTCTTGATATTGAGCTCCAATCCATATTGAAGACTGCAGTCCTTGACCTTCTGTAGCAAGCGCTTCAGGTCCTCCTCAGTTTCAGGGAGCAGGGTTGTGTCATCTGCATAAAGCAGGTTGTTGATGATTCTCTCACTAAATCCCCCTACTCTTAACCCTTCTTAGAGCTGGTGGCCCCACCTCTGGCCTCCCTGAACTTTAGGATCCATTTCTCTGTCACTCCAAACGTAAACAGAGCTGCTGTTGCAGCAAGAAGACTTCAGGTAAGAATCAAGGAAGCACTTTCTGAATGAGAGAGCAGTCCCACCTCCACGCTTTGGAGTATCCCTCTGCTTCCTGCTACAACACCCTGCTGGCCCCTCCCTCTGCCTGGACTCTCCTCTCACTCATGATAGACTCTGTCACCTACACTGAAGCCACCTCCATCACTGACTACTAGCTTTGTGACTTTGGACAAGAGGCTGTTTAACCTCCTGTGTGTCTCATTTACCTACCTACAAAATTAGGAGAGTGTAAAACTCATGAGGATGAAATTAAGCGCTATACCAGGCAGTGCCATGAAGTGTGACTTGTTTTTGATGGGTCCCTTGCTGCCTGGAGATGCAGACACTCCCCGGTCTGGGACCCAGTGTGGCAAGGGGAGATGGTCTAGGTGGGTCACTGGGGGAAGGCAATGAGGACGGGGAGACCCCAGGAGGCATTGGGACAGAATACCAGAGGACTTTCTGGATGAGATGTTTGGTGAGAGACCCCAGGGAGCTTTGGGGATAGACAGAGACTCCAAAGACCTCGTTCATTTCTAAGATCACCCTGGACTCAAGATCATTGGTAGCTTCCCTGAGCTTGGGCTTGAGGGGCTAGACGGCCTCTCCTCCATCTCTGCCCAGGCAGAGGCAGCTTTATCTCTTTGAGGTGAAGAAAAAATGCTGACAGCTCTGATTGCTTCCTGGCCTGCACCCCCATCCGTGGGTTGTGCTCCCTTCTCCCCTCCTCCTTTGCCGCCAGCCCACCTCTCCCCGCCTCAGAGTTCCTGTCTTTTTGGCCCAGCTCCATGAGCTCAGACATGCATCTTCTGAGATCCAGACAGTCTGCAGTGTTGGGTCTCGGGGGTGGGATGGGGGGGGCAAAACAAAGGGACCAGGGTTGGGTCACACAGTCCACATTCACTGCTGACCTCACTCAGCCTGGTGCCCCTTGTCTCCCAGTTCCAACCCTCATATGGTCTCGTATGGCTCCCCATCCTGTTTCAAAGGGCCCAGGCCTGATACCCCACCCCCCACCCCCACTGCAGCTCATCCTCCCCAAGCTCAACTCCCAACGCACAGTGGTCCTATGTGCAATCCTGTGAATGTCACACAGAGTTTATGAACACATAGGAGGTGAGGTGCCCTGGCCCTG